CTCAAGCTGGTCAGTGGCTAACCAGAGAGGTACTGTAGGAGTGAGAAAGGGGAATATTGCCTGATACCAACTATGCAACACTTCTCCACATAAGACGGCTCATTTTGTTGATGAAGCTCCAGGTTTTAGTTAAGGAAATGTCTCAGAACTGCAAATGAAAATTACCTCCAAGTATCGGACTTGTAGCCGTGGCCACGTTCACCTTACGGTCGTTTTGGAAAAAGTACTAAAGGGGACCCTGTGGACTGGTCCTGAATCTGGTGACTAGAATGAATTATGTGAATGGGAACAGATAAAACTTTCTGTGTTCAGAAAATTCAGTGTTGCTGCTGAGACATGGGGTCTCTTCTACTGCTCCATGAGAACTAAGTACAAATAAATATACTAGCCTACAGTACATCCCACCGGCCAACACAGCCAGCGAGGTCAACACAGAACCAAAGTTCTCATGACAGCTTGATCAGCCCAATTACTCGAAGATGAAAAACCCAAAAGAGCTCGTTAAAGAATGGTCCGATTTGCAAACCACTGCTACTTTCGTTGCGCTCAGAAAATCTTGCGTTCCTTACTTTACCTTATCCCAGTAGTATATCGGTCAACACATATAAATAGTGCACAGACAATAAAGATGAACATCCTACAATTCACACAAAGCACTTTCATTTATTAATGCAATCTGGTTAATCATTTGCATCTTTTCGGGATTTGAGTTACATGGAATTCTATCTTGAAACTGGATGGAAGTCCTCGATGTAACTGTGTTGGGAGACTGGGAGAGGAGAAAGTAACCGTGCTGTCTCTGCTTCTGTGTCCGAACCGATCCCGAGAGACCTCTGAGCACCAGGGCCCAGGACTCCAGAGCCAGCCACACTCCCAGGAATCACGCGCTCCTCAGAAAGGAGAAGGACACTAGCCTGCTCTGGGATTACTGTCCCGGCAGCAACAGGTTCATCGCCTTTGAACACCCTAATGAATGCACTGATGTTAAAAAATGAACAGTGTAACAGTCAAAATAAATTCTGAAACACAAATGGTCTTGGAAATAAAGAAGGAAGAAAAGGGTTATATTACACAACGTATCAGGCACCGGTTTTTCATAATACCAAATTTACAGTTCTCATGTCAATGAACACCTTAGTTCATGTCATTATTGTCTCACTGAAAACAAATCAGCTGACTTCTACAGTTTTTAAATTGGTGCATATGTACATTTAAAAAAAATAAAATAGGTATATAATGGACGGGTTGAAAGCACCTTCATTGGAACAATTTAAATCAAACCCTTTTGGCACGGTTTAAGCACAGCTGGAAGGACACTCACAGGCAGGTGTGAAAGCTAGGCAGCTGTAAGCCGGGGGCACATCTGGAGAGCGAGAGACAGGAAACGCCAGAGCTCAGTAACATGCTGACGAGAGCGAAGCTCCATCCCTTTCTCTCATCCGCACGCTCTCCAAGGATCTTCAACAGGGCAGCGTCGAGGCACGGACGTTTCACTTCAGGGACTTATCTCTGGGAACAACTGGACCACCTTTTCCACCGGCCCCCCAACGCTCCACAGAACGATGCACATTAAAATCGAGGCTCTTGGGCTCCCGTGCGGCATCTGTCCAGGACAGCCCACCTCCGAGGACAGATCGCCACGCAGACTCCCCCCACAGCTGCCCCCTGCCGTGGGTCTCCGGCTTTAAAGAACCCCCACACCCACACGCAACATTAATGGGATGAACAAGACGGCGATGGCACCAGTCTGTCCCTGCGTGTTGCTTACTAGGTTGAGCCGGGAGAAGGAGGTCCACGAGACCTGCCTGGCCGCCCCAAGAGCCACGGGCTTGCCGAGGTCATCACACACGTCTCCACGCCAAGGACGGCACTCACAGCACGCAGCGGCGCTCCAGCTGTTTGTCACATACACACAGCCGCATGCACTTCCCGGGAGTACACCGGGCAGGAAAGAAAAAGAAGAGGCGTTGGAAGGTGGAAATACAGAGCAGTAACTGCGGTGTCTTTGGTGGCGCAGAAGCAAGCGAGCAGAAGGGCCAGGTGCAGAGGGAGGAGCACACTCTCGGTCACAGGCCTGCTGGAAGCGCTGACAGCGGGGGCTCTCTCTCCCGAGATCTGCATGCGCCATCATGCTTCAGGTTCATTCTGCGTACGTCACAACACGCAGTTTTGTCATACAACTGAGATTTCAACAGAAACGTCAGAAACGGCTGAAAATGAATCAACGAATTTGAGGTTCTGTTCTCAGCTTTTGGACAAGCCCCAACGGCTCTGTCCCGGACGCTGCACACCGTTCCTGCAGGACGCAAAAGCCCGAAAAAATAATTCTGAGAGTCGGGGAACACGCGGAGGGCTGGGTTCGGAATGCCACGCGCCGGAGATTCGGAAGTGAGAGCCTGGCCTGTCAGCGGGTGCCCAGGCCGGACTGCGGGCGACAGTGCGCCAGTGAAAGCCTTCCAGCTGTCCTTGCCCCTGTCTCCAAGGCCCGGATATTCTGCCCCGAGACTGCGGGGCCTCAGTGAGCCGCCCCGCACGGGTTGTCGGAGGTCTGGCAGCCCATGTTCTGGTTCTTCACCTGGACCCGGAACAGCGTCCCGTCCGCACACATGCACAGCTTGTAGCGCTCCAGGCCCTCGTCGAACAGCAGCTCCCCGCTGGCCGAGGAGTTGGGGATCCGGGAGGGGCTGACCATGACCGAGCCGTTGAGCACGATGCTGTTCTCCTGGAAGGCGAGGCACACACATTTAGGAGGGCCACAATGAAACTCATTCCTCCTCCCTCACTTGGTTTGCAGTGCACAGACACAGACGCCATCGTGTGCTCAGCTCCGCCTCCAAAAGCTCGCCCGATCACACCAGAGGCGTTGTGCTCGACATAAGATTACAGGTGACATCACAACGCACTGCCGTGCAATCCGCAACAGCAGGAGAACAAACTACACTAGACTAGGAAATAGTAAAAACAATGAAATAATCCGCTCAGCCACGTTGCTGAAGCCAATACTGCGGCTTCTCTCCAGGGCCAGCAGGTCGAGATCTTCAGATCAACGAGCTACCGGAGACCAGCCGGGCCGAACGGCTCCTCTCGGCCGCAGCTGTTCACCTCACCGGGAGGTCGGCGAGCGGAGCCAGGCCGATGAGCGGGCCTGTCTGTAGGGCGGAGGAGGGGGCGGCGGGCCGGACTGGCACGGCGCGGAGACGGAGCGGGCGCCGCGGCGACAGGTACTCACCGCCTTCAGCTCGATGTCTCCTCCCATCCGGAACTCCACGGTCTTGCCCATGATGAAGACGCCCTCGTTCCCGCGCACGATGGCCTTGCCGTCCACCCTGATGGTGAGGTCGCTGGAGGCGTTGCTGGTGATCTGCGAACAGGAAAAGACAGGCGGCGGGGGGTCGTGAAGCCGTTTCCACAACAAGGCCCTGCGGCTTTCTAAGAAAAACCGGGAGACGAGCCGGCGGCTGTCTGGGCAGGAGGTAACATGAGACATCAAGGCTATCGGGCCCGGGAGGCGCTGAGCTCTCTGGATAACCGACTGACTCCCGGCGCCTACGCACAGCAGTCGTGCACACACTCATCCGTCATCTGCGCGGCGGTCACAGGCCTGGCCTGACAAGGGCCCTGCTCGGGGCCGGGAACGCACCCTCTCCGTGGACGCCTTCCGGACGCTCAGGACCTTCACGCCCTTGGGCAGGTGGAACTCGTGGTTGTCGAAGTCGGTGCTGAAGAAGGTGCTGTGGCTGCGCGGGTCCACGAAGGACATGCCGACGTCACTGGTGATGGAGGTCTTGTCCTTGTCCACGCTCAGCGTGGTCGTCCCCTGCTGGAACACCACCTGCAGCGCACAGGAGAGCGCGTGACCCCTCGCTCCGAGACTTACCCACAAACCTTACGGAACCTGTATGCCTACAGATACAGGAGGCGCATGATTTCAACTGAGGTCAACACGTGTTCAGAGTAAGTAATAGGTTTATTCCTTTGTAGCCTACGCATGCTGATGCAGCTATCCACCTGAACTACTTGTTTAGAATAATGTATTTTTTTAATAATAATTGCTTACACTTATATAGTGCATTTCTGGAAACTCCACTCAAAGCGCTTTACAGGTCATGGGGATCCCCTCCACCAACAGCTGTGTGCAGCCCCAACTGGATGATGCACCAGTACACTCCTCACTCCTCAGTGGGGAGGAGAACAGAGTGATGAAGCCAGTTCAGAGATGGGGATTATTAGGAGGCCATGAATGGTAAAGACCAGGGGGGGAATTTGGCCAGGACACCGGGGTGACACCCCTACTCTTTTTGAGATTTTTAATGACCACAGAGAGTCAGAATCTCAGTTTTATATCTCATCCAAAGGACTGCGCCTGTTTACAGTATAGTCTCCCCATCACTATACTGGGGCCTTAGGACCCACACAGACCACAGGGTGAGCGCCCCCTACTGGCCCCACTAACACCTCTTCCAGCAGCAGCCTCAGCTCTCCCAGGAGTCTCCCCTCCAGGTCCTGACCAGGCTCACACTGCTGGGCTCCAGTGGGCGGCCAGCTGGGAGCTGCAGGGGGATACAGCTGCTGCCAGCTGGTCCGCACGACTCCTCAGCATCTCTGCGGCGTGCGCTCGCTCTCCGGTCTCGCCGCTGG